GCGTTAGCCCTTCGTCGGAGCGAAGGGCTCCGACGAAGGGCTAACGCTCGAAACGTCAGCTTTTGTAATCGTTACGGTGGCCAATTTACCATTTCAACTTTGCTGATATATCCAAATTATTTCGTTACTCCCACCGACGCAGCCCCAAACAGTTTCTTTCGAAACTATCAGCCTTTATTCAGATATAAAACTTTGCCTAGATAGAGTGCAGCGATCGAAAATGCGTGACAATGTGAAGAAAGACGTTATATTAATCAATGTTTGAAGTATATGGGTCATTAATGTAGTTTTTCGCTTTTTCACTGAGATTCAAAAGAAGACCACGCGCTCATGTTTAAGACAATGCGAGGCCGCACTGGTTTCTACTCTCTCTGAGGATGTATTTCCTCACTGCAAGGACGCATAAGTTTAAGTGAGCGTGAACCGGATACGAACTTTTATGCCCATTTTGTGGCTCAGACCTCCTTGTTGTGACACATTCTCGCGGAGTTCTTGTCCACTTCCCTCGGAATACTTTTACATTTTTCTTTCCCACTTGTTAGGATTCCTTATCTGGAAGGAACGTGATAAGCACAAAATCGGAGGGCTAGAGAAGATGCTTTAACTTAATAAGGTGGGGTAATCCCAGATGTAGTTACTCAGCGATATTGATATGGCAATTAGGTCAAAGATGTACAGCATACAATCCAGCATCTAAGCACTGCGTTACTTCGCACCCTATCCTTCCCTGTCGGATGATTTTGTCTCTTATATTCACCATGCTAAGTATTCATATCTGATTCCTATATTCCCAATTTCATCTTTTAAACTGCTGCGACCATTCAAGAAGGTGGCTTATAAATGTCATTTACTGGCCGAAAATCAGTACTCAATTTTACTAAACTTGTCCTCTTTTCCAAGTACGACCCCTTCAAAAAGATCAAACACTTTCTTCAAGTATTAGCCGCTTCAGATATAATACTTTTACAAATAAACGGTATGTAAGGGCGGGGAGACCTCCAAGAAACCACCCGGCTTATAGTAAGCCAACAGTAGGTTGACGTATATGGAGATTCAGCGTATTGTGCACGGAGAATAGAATAAAATACCAACATCCACGGTCCA